AGTTCAAAAGCGCATTCTGCTGTAGACGCATGGGCGGAGACGAAGAACCGTATACATCCTCATCGATGTGCATGGGGCCTTGTGCTCTGGGAGTAAGCACATAGCCCGCTGTTCTGCGTCAGCACTTGGTTCTTGGTAGTTTCGAAAGAGAGGAAGATCAGGGGTGGACGATCCGCTGGGTACTCGTGGGGACTGGAATGTCTCGAGTCACTTTTCTTCCTTAGAATCGCGGTTTTCTATACGAGCAACTAGTCACTGACGCGAAGCTATAGGCTGGCCGTCGCGGGGCACTTCATACCGTGTGCCCTCCCTTCTACACAAGACGGTGATGAGAAGGGGTGCAGTGAGGCATTTTCTTTTTCCAGCCGCATCGACGGAAAATTGAAATCTGGTGGGAAGATGGGAACTCGTATGAAAGTATTTTGGTATTGGGGAAGAGGGGAGTTCGTACCGAGACCCCCATTTAGGTTTGGGCCTTAGTAGTACTGACACCCTCCCTCGAGAGGGGGGGGTCGTACTTTCACCACTATTCACACTCATGATGCTGTACCCTAGCCATCATTCCTTCTACTTCGAAGTGAAAACGTTATGGGCACTAATGGGTGTCAACTGCACTCTCTAGGCACAGACGCAGCCGCAGAAAATTTTTTTTCAAAAAAGAACGAGCGTAGAATACTGAAAACTTGCTACTGAGCAGAACTCCAACTGGATAGGGAAGTGCTGCTGTGAAGTCAGAAGCTCAGTGCATCACTAGCTGAATGTGCTCAAGTGAGCTTCATCAACTCACTTGCAGAAGTTTTCGAAGAATGTTGTGTTGGAGAATGCGGTGAGGAAGTCGTTATAGTTCAACTGAAAAAAGCAGATTCTCATTGAGCAGGGGGACCGGGTTCGAAAGGAGTAGTCATGAAAGTATGCAAGCAAAAAATATTGAAATTCGATAAGGGTAACAGAAACGTTAACTGTACCTATAAAAGGGTGTGAAAATAGAGAAAGGACTTCTGTCTTTTGAAGGGAAAGTGCAGTAAACAGAATGATCAGAGACATGATAACTGAAAGTGTTCAAGTGTTTTTTCAGAATACCTGCAGGAGCGACGCAGTTTTCGCGTTTCCCAGTTGTGCACGGATTTGCTCGACCAAATTGAAAGCGCATTGGCCGGCACAGGAATCAGAATTGGCCTCATGGGGGCTGAAAAGAAATGGTTACTCTCGAATTAGACGTGTATTCATCCCCAAATACAGTTGGGCAAGGTGTGTAAGGTTACGGGCGCATTTGTCGCTAATCTCAACCTTATGGTTAGTGATATTCCAGGGCATGTCAGCACCTCCAGGCAAGCCGATAATGCTGCGTCAGCTGATCAAGAAGGACTGTAGGCGCCATGGTGAAACGTGAGCGATCTTAGTAACTCATCAGAAGTATTGGCTTACTAAATGTGATGTGGCCTCTACAGTGAGTTGCACGAGCCGATCTTCGATTCGACCCCTGCAGCGCTGCGTGATAAGTCACCCGCTACCACACCATTTCCAGAAGAATATTCGTCCTTGGAGATTACCCTACACCATTATAGTTCATGTCTACTACCGCTAGCGCCGACATACACCTTGAGCCACTTGAGGAAGGTATGCACTATTGTACGCAAGTATGCGCCCCTGTTGTTTCTCGAAAGCAACCTCCAAATCTCTCGGATTTCTGCGCTAAGGATTCCAGTGCTGCAGGACAGCAATCCAGCGAGTTCTTATAAAGAGAGCTGGGAGGACGTTTTTGAAACTGACGGAGCGCGAGCGGTTAGCACTGGACCAACAGTCTCTTTCATTCTTCTTCCTCAGCATTAACAGTTAAACCTTCTCAACTTTATGGACCTGAAACCCATATTTTTTTGAATGCAAGGACTCAACAAATTGCAAACGATTAAATTGTGCTCAATGCCTATTGTCGGGCACCTCACAAACAAAAGGTACATGTGCTGTGGAAGCGGTCATTGATTTGTAAGGTTCAGGTGATGACTAGTTGCTGACCAAGCAAACGCTGGTGGAAGAAATTTCGGTTTGTAGGGCTTTAGTCAATGTCCCAAACTATTGCACAACGCGATGCAATCTCATTATAGCGTTGATGTGTTGCCATGTTTTATGACCGTGTGACAGTGAAACCTGCCGTTAAGCCGCTCCAAGAACGAAAAACTCGTTCAAAAGGACGAGTCTTTCCAGTTTACCTGGCGACAGCGATGACATTTGCACGTGATTGTCGCCTCTTCTTTCACCTTGGCTTTTCGTTCCTTCGAGTGACACACGCTGACAAAACCAGCTTACTGGATGACTGATATCATTATGAGAATCTGGTCAGCGGACTGGTAAATCTAGCGCCGTAGAACATGGACTATCCAGCTGACAATTGCTAAGCAACATGTTAGGAGTGGGATTGTTTCAACACTCGTAGTAAGGTTGATTCATTCGAAAACAAGTATAGAATGGGGGCAGGGTTGAGGTGAATATCGCAGCTTACAGGGATCTGAAGGTGTAAGTGGGAAGACTCTGAAATGCTTCTCACCTGACAGTAGGGATCATCGGATCCATAGAAGGGGCATTATCGAAGGCGACGATTAGAGTCGGCAGGGCGAAGAGCAGTAACATCTATAAAGGAATGGCAGGTATACAGAACACGCAAAAAAAACCCGAAAGAACATTCATGGCGTTCGAGGCTCTATACCAGAGAAAATAGGGTGATCGAAATTACTAAAGTGAGAGACGCTACAGTCCATTCGATTACTCAAGAGGGAACTGAACGGAGATCGATGGTGAAATTTTGTTCCAAAGCTGAGTTTCTCACATGAGCACCTCTCTTGTTCGCAATCTGTCTTGATAGAGGTTGAATGGCCTGAATCGAGTGACGAAAGTGTGAGGTACATTAAAGGCAGAGCCCACGATCAAGTATAACTGTCTAAGCTCATTGAACGGAGAGGTAGTGTGGCTGCACGAACAACCCTTTATGAGTTGCTCGTCGGAAAATGGTAAGGTAGCGGCGGAAGCACAAGGTTGCTCAGGTGTCTCCGCCCACCTTGATAGATGTCTTATTATGCGCTCCTTCTTTGCATGCTCTCTCGTTGCTTCCTGTGGCCTCTCTTCCGACATTCACATCGAGCGTTTGTCTTTCGCTTGGCACAAGTAGAACCTTATTTGAGGTCTTCTCGATGGTTTCCTTTCCCTTTTTTCTTCACGAGAAAGTCAACACATACAATTCTACTTCCCAACCCCTCTACCAACGAACTTTTCACTGGCTCTTCGCGAAGCCTGCCTTTAATATAGGGGGCAGCAACAATGGGCTGATGCCGTTTGCACGACTTTGACTTTTGGCTGCGAGCTCATGTTGAAGTGCCTAGATCTCCAAATCCGCTGAAAACTTCTTTATAATGTAATCTAACATCCTGTTTACGGATGTGACATTTATTCCTGGCGCTGGCTAATGATGGACACTACGACTATCTTCTGGGTTCAGCTTTAGCAGAGGCAGATAATCGTAGTGTTCTCCATTAGCGCCAGCGCCAAGAATGAATGTCATAGTCGTAATCAGGATGTTAGATTACCTCTATATACAAGTTTTCAGCGGATTTGGTGATTTAGGCACTTTTAAAATGAGCTCGCAGCCGAAAGTCAGCGCGTCCAAACGGCATTAACCGCATCAGGGCATCGTACGTTGGGGATACCCAACGAGGGGGCGTATTTGGTTGTTGAAGGGAGGAGTCGTATTTGCCTTCGAGTTCTCTGACAACAAGGCAAATGGTTTCTGTTTACTGTCTTCACACAGGTTTTCCCGTCTCACTTGCGCCACATGCCCCTATCGCTCCAAAACTGGGAGATTTAAAAAAAGAAAGAAAGGTGGAAGTAGACAAACAGTGGGAACACGATAGGAAGATGGGACATGGGAAAGAGCGTGTTGCACCAGGGAAGGGAATTCGGAGGAGGGGAAGCTGTTGTCGTCCGCCTATATGGAGATGCAGCACGCGAAGCCGTAAGTTCCCATATACAGTTGTCATCCGGGCAGTTGACCAGGAGGTCGCTGAAGGATCGCGGACGCGACTGCAGCAGCGATCGCGTACGCGGGAACCGTTCCGGCCTGGTTTAGTCATTTTCTCCCTACTTTTCACTGTTTTTGGCTGCTTTTCTTCGAGGTTAGTTGTTCCTTGTCTTCACAAGGTGAATTATGATTGAGATTTCTCTAATTTTTGCGAACAATTCAAACAATTAAACCAACTAAACAAATACCTAAAAAATCGCAAAACACTTCATTACAAAACAAAAAAGAATCCACGTCCTAATACACTTCATAAAGACAATAACACAACTTACCTTGAAAAAAATAGAAAATACAGTGAAAATTAGGGAGAAACTGGCTAAACCAGGCTGATCGCAGCGGTCGTAAAGCTCCGCAGCCGCGTCTGCGCTCTTTGACCGCCTTATCAACTGCCCGGATGACGAGTGTAAAAGTGGTAGATCACTGCCGTTATATGTGAGCCACTGTATGTCATGTGAGAGTTTACCCCCAACGTTTACCTCCCAGGTAGCCCCACGCGGTGTCGGAAGTTCGGTAAAATTAGTAAAAGTGATACACAATTGAACGTAGAAATGCAAAAGTGAACATCACGGGGAGTAGAATAATCCAGTTCCTTAGTACGACCCCCCCCCTTAACATTTCCTTCTACAATACACACTTCCTCCCTAGCGACAGATTTCGGTTCTTGTCACGGTACTGACTCTACAACAATGATGTGCGCTATCAGTGGCACCTGGCATGGAATTTCAGATGAAATCCTTCTTCAATACAAAAGCGCTGTAGCTTTAAGCGTTTCTGGTCTCTCCTGTTGAAACCTCAGAGAATGCGACGACTATTATTAGAGGCTAGACTATCATAAGTATTCTGTTCTCTGGAAAACCGCAGCCCAACCGATAGGACAGAAAAATAAGTTGTTCTGGATATGTTCTTTAGGGAAAAGGGTTGCAATTACAAATGGAAACATGAAGACAGAAAGCAAACGCATTTAGTTTACCGCACTTAGACACCTACGATACCGTCCCTAATTTTTGTGAAATCGACGGTTTGTGACGGATTAATCCGTCGCAAACCGTCGCTTTGCCATAACTTCCGTCAAAGTTGTCAAAATGATCTGAAATTGAAACCAGTCGATTGCGCTGCACAAGGCAAATCCAATGATGCACGTACTTTCCTTCAGTTTTTTGACGTCTTTTTTGAAAGAAATTGAGCTTCAAGTCTCCAGTAGCCTAAGGTGTTACCTGCGGACACGGCTGCGTCGTAAACCCTCCAGTCCAATTATGAATCTACCAAACAAGTGTCTTGAAGCCACAAATACCAGCATATTCGGGAAAAGCATGATTCCGTAAAAACAAATCCAAATGAAAACATGAAGAGAGAAAGAAAACGCATGTGAATTCAATTAATCGCACGTAGACACCTACATAGCGTGGCGAACCATGCGCGACTTCCGAGACGACAAACCACCGCAACGAGACAGTACGGCTTTAATGTGTGGCAAATGCTAGGTGAAGAAACCAGAGGTGAAACGACATTATTCGGACCAGTTCGACAAGGCCAAAGGCGACGGGAGATGACGAGGAGAAAGAAGATGGGGCGATCAAGAGAAATTACGTCATTTGCTAAACTGTTTTGCAATTCATGTCTCCATTCAGTTTACTGGAACGTGAATCTGAAAGCACAATTACATCGTTCAGGAAAGCTCCGACTAACTTGCCGACAGCGCAGCAGCTGGAGGCAAGATTTCGCATGTGCGCTATCTGTAGCGTAAAGACCCACCCCTTCACATCTAGTCCATTAAGAAGAGGCTGACCCAAAACAGGTTAGAAAAAAGATCAACTTCAGATTATCGCGGAAGGGCAACAGCTTACTGGGCTCGAATTATGTCTTTGGCGCATTGTCCTAAGAGGTTTTTCGTTCTCTGTCCTCGAGTCTATCCCCCTCGCTTCAAAGTAGCTGAATCGGGTTCCTCTCAGGGAGCGTGTTTCAGAATGTTTCCATGACAAGGTGAATTTACGCAAATATGCCAAAACGTAACTATAACAAACTCGTTCCTAGGAAGTGCTTGACTCCGCTTTTAAGTGCCAAGCTTTGTGATCAAGATTTTCCACCTCTCAACGACCTCTATCACTTTGCCTGTTTACTTTCGCCTCTTCTTATCTTTCCTGCTCCTGACTGCCCCTCAGCTTCCCCGAAACTTGTTCAGCGGAAAAGGGGCAAGCTGAACATGTGAAGAATCCGAGCTTTCATGAGAAAACCTCTAAGCGGTCAGGTCCCGTGAGAAAAACTCTGGGCGGCTAGGCACTTTCGGTCGACAAGCGATTGAGAAGCAGCGCAGTTCGACTTGGTGGAGGCACGAAATGGTGCTCAGCCAAGGTTGTACAGGTCACATCGTGAAGACCTGTTAGTCCCTGTAACTGGAGCGGCGCATTTAAACAAATTTGCAACTTCTCAAGAGTTTACAGGCCCCATCAACATGAAATCAATTGGTTAAAATGAACTAGTAAACGGAACTGGTGAAAGTGCAAGATGCCCTCCCAAGTCAGACAACGCCTGAGAAGCTCCCGAATTCGCTCAATTCATTCCGGTTCACAACAGCGCGATGTAACATTGCGGAGACCGTCAGGATCACACTCAAGGAATTCGACTGGGCTCAGCTCATACTTACGGACGTTGTACCGACCACCCTTTTCAGTTGCTGTCAAGCAGAATAAAGGTGTCATGTTTAATGACGTTGAGGACCTCGGGAACTGGTCTGGCGAAATATTCGGGTTTTCGTCATGCGACCTAAGGCGAAACAGCATCGGCAAATGACTTATTATTAGAAGCAGGGCACATCGTTGTTGGGGAATCCCCAATAGGGGGGTCGTATTTGGTCGCCAGGAGGGGGGGTCGTATTTGGGCTGAGAAAAATTTATTTTGATAGTTGATTTTTCTCGCTTCATGGACGTTGTAAAGGGAGGGGGGTCGTATTTGATCATTTTTGGGAGGGGGTCGTATTTACGTTTTGGCGTTGTGGGAGTGGCGGTTGACTTTTGGTGATTTTCCTGTTTCACGTACTATATGCCCCCCCCCGCTCGACGGCTCGATTCGATGAGGAAGGGCAGGGGAGGGGGGTGGGGTCGTACCAACTCCTAAAAAAGGGGATCGTATAGAGTCGACTTAATTCCCCAACCAATGATCACATCATTGGTTGGGGAATTAAGTCAGTTTATTAATTCGCCCTCAAAATCGCAGTGAAATATATAAATTTCATAATAAAAAAACAAGGGAAAAAGACAGCGGGAACTTCCTTAGCCTAATATTCCTCTGAAGTTTTTTCAAGTTAATATCTTCGCCCTCCTAGAAATTGCTTGCCCTGCACTCTCCGCCACTCAAAGCCAGGTATCTTCAAAACAGATTTACATCCTGTAGATCCTTAACACTCTGCGATCTGGTATGGACGTAAGTGGATAGGGTATTTCGTTAGACGAACTGATGCTAATGACAATGACTGCTTGAGCTTCACCCTTTTCCAACCCCCTCTAGAAATTTGGCAGCCTTTTCTGTCTTTTCTGGGAAGGTATTTCTCCTTACAATTAGTTGA